GCTCCTCGCCGTTTTGTGACGCCACCACGGGAACAGAGCTAAATGTTCACTCTTTCTGACAAAAAGGGGACGAGTCTGTTGTGAAAGAATCTAATTAATCAAACTCAAAGTTACCTTTTCAGTCTTCCGTTGACGATCTCGTTGCTTCTTCTGTCTTCTGCGGTAGGTACATAACGAAAAGATTACAAGATCTTGGACGAGATGTTGAGGTGAGCTTCTGACCATTTCAACAGTCCACTACTTTACTTACTTTTGTACGAGAACTATAGATAAGATTGAGAGCACTCATGACACGTAATCGACTCACATTAAGCACACTTTGTTAGTCCCGGTGTAGTGTGGAAGAACCCTAAGGTGATTTTACAATTTGGCCTGCAATGGTCCAAGGAAACGGTCCTGAACCAAGGAAATGTAGGTCTTCTTTCCCAAAATGGATGTTCGTCGGTCACACGACTCCTGGATGAAAAGCACCGAAACCCTGGAAATTTCTCCTCTTGGCTTTCTCCCATAGCCCGACAGGGAAAGAGCGATTTGCGAATTGCGTCGCAAATATGATCATTGATGACTAGGGATAGGCTTTCGCGGTGTGAAATGAAACGTTGAAGACTTTCAAAGATCACTCGAAACGGGTCTATCGTGCTTATCCCAATTTCGACAGCTGTTTCAGATCCATCTCATCAACGGAGGTCACATCGTGGAACCACCTTATTTCCCTCATCATGGCGCTGTTTACGCGAAGTTTCAAGGTTGGTTTTGACAGCGTGCAACTCGGTTTAAGGCTTAACGATAAGCCTGTGTGACATTTCAGGGTTCTATTGTGGTTACGGTGGTGATGCCATATTGCACGGGAAAGGCCAAGAAGTGTCATGGCAAGGTACCATCGATTTCTTCAAGCAAAAACTCGGAAAAACGGCGAATATGCCCGACTGGGACCGACTGCACCATGTGACTGCAGCTAGCCACTTATGAATGGCTAGATCAACAGCTCCAAAAATCTTGTCCATAATGTATAGCTCCTTTGATGTGCACTGTAACATAAATAAATATATTTGATATTAATTATTTTCTATACCATCAGTCCAAATTCATTGAAGCTAATATGTTAACTCTCATCTACAATAGCGCCGGCTTTTGCTCATTCCAGCTGACATTTACATGCCGCGAGAGCAGCGAGCGAAACTCGGAAATAAAATAATTTTCCTTACAAAAATTCACTCCTCAGGCTACTCCTCGATTTCAACGATCTACAAGTTTAAGGCTAACGTCGCAGTCATCTGTGATTTTGGTTAAACATCTTCAATCCGTCTGTCCATTTATCAACAAGGTTCTCCATCGATTTGAGAGTAATTGCTGTTTCATAAATAATAATTAAGTGTACATTCTAGTTCACGGTGTCTAATAAGACTCGTAAAGCATGCTGTTGGTATTGGTTACTGCTAATATAGTCGGTCGGGTCACGTGGCTCGAAACGAACCATAAATACCCCATATTTTTCGGATAGAGTATCTGTGCGAAGTAGATAGGACAGGATCTAAATGTGCTTGGGCGGGCGAGCGTGTGCCCTGGCTGAGATGAGGGAAGGGCAGACGGAAACGAGAGAGCGTAGCGGGGAGCGAGACACAGATACCGAAACGGGTGAGCGTGCGTAGTTGCCAGGTCTTTGAGGACATGGAGCGTTTTTTCAAAATGGTTTTCTGAATGTTATAGAAGCTCATGTGAAGAACACAGAACCATGGTCCATTTTTCCTGAACGCCCCCAGGAATGTCAAAACAGCGGGAAATGGTCCACAAGTTCGATCCTCGTGATGAAGGATTTTTGCAATTTATGTGGTACCTTCAAAATCACAACACACAAGAACATGACATCTATTCTCTACGATGCGCCTTTAGTGCATCTGGGCGCCATCCCAATATGCCAAAGTTACTCATCCCGGGATCGAACTCTGGGCTATTTCTTCACCTTTGTTTTTGGAACATTCTGGAGTCCATGAAAAGGATCACGGTTCTGTTTTTCTCGCATTAACCTTTCATACGCTCAAGAAAATCAAAAAAAACACTCCATGTACGAAGCTCCCTTGGTGAGAATACCTACCATGAGAATGAAGTGTAAGACGGAAAACACCTATCTTATGAAAGAGGCCTCGGGTGTGGACCGGCACGCAATTCACATTGAAGGGTATGCCACCGAGGATCTAGCATAGCCTTACTCACGGTGGAAATGGTGCGCTTTGTCTTCAGTGGGGATCGAATCACTAGCCCTGGTTTCGGCATGTTTTTTAGCACTCCCAGGCCGCTCAGAAAAAAATTGCCTCTGTTTTATGCTCCCCTGCGCGTGGCTCTGTAACATGCAAAAAACCGTTTTGAAAAAGTTCTCCATTTTGTGATGGGCTTTCCTTGTGAGTCTCCAACGCAGAGAGAGCGTTAGCGTTGAAGAGGGCAGCAGCGATGAGAGTCGCATCAATGCGCAAATCAACGGGCAAGGAAGGGGTCCCATTTCTCGGGTTCTGGGCCGTTTCTCATGGTTTTTCTTCTTTCGTGCACCACTGACCATCTCTAACTTAATTTCCAATGGGCTGCTTTTTCATTGAAATCTGGTGAGAATATGCCAATACCCCTCTATTTATAGCTTCCAAGCAGAAAGCCAACAACACAGTGTATAAGGACGGTCGACTCGTGCTGCTCTAGAACCCACGGCAAAGCGTTCCGCACATAACTTTGAGTTCCTTCGATGTAATCCGTAGTATTCAGCGGGCGATAGCGATCTCACTCGCTTACGATGGCGGTTCCACCTATCCGACGACACACGATTTTTTTGTCGCTCGTTGCTTTACTCAAGCTGGTTTCAATGAACTATCTTTTCGCGCCTCTATAGCGCTGTCGATCGCAAGAGTGCGCCATTGCTGCTGACTATACTATGCGTTTTCCCTTCACACCTTTGACTTTCAAGCATGACGCTGTTTCCATTTGTACTCTTCAAAACACAGTTTGTCGGCCGGTCCTTTGATTTTAAATATTATAATATTACATCGCCAAAAAGTCGAAAAAATCCTCCAGACTGGATATCTGACCGTTGGTATCATGAGAATCTCTTGCTATCCCCTCGTCCTCTGCTTCATTTCCTATCTGAGCGAAGGAGATCTATTGAAGATATGATTATTTTGAATTTTGCTTTCAATACCTCTTGAATTGTATGCAGCAGGAAAAAATGGCCCTTGATAGCAGATGGCAGTTTACTATCCGAGAAACCAGCAAGCGTCAATTTGACGACCCCTCCTCTCTGAAAGCTTAATTAGAACTGATTTAAATTTGAATCTTAATCTGATTAGCTTTGGTGCTCCTTTTTTCTCAAAAATTTCAATGAAATTGGCAGTGACGTTATCGCAGAACAATCTCCTGCTCAACTTTTTAAAGAATTCCTTCGAAGGCGTTTCCAGACGTTCACGAACACTTATTCCAGAGATCGAGAGAATTTCCTTGTTATATCAACCTATTTTTATAAATAGCCACAACGACCCCAGTGACTTTACGTCTTCGTATGAGATTAATTTGCCAAGCTAAATGAAAAATAACACAAAAAATATAAAATACCTTGTTTCAGGACCATGCTCAGTAGCATTTCAAACCGTTGAATCACCTAGGAGATCTCAAGGTTACGCTTGTTACTATTTGGGTTGTCTAATACTTTAATCTCTTCAGGTGGTTAACCCTAGCTGTAGTTTAGGATAGGGCAGGTCAAGCTACAGTCCATTCATACCCGTCGTATAGTACGTAGCGCGACGCCGCTCGCCGCGATTGAATTGACCGTCTCTCGTAGTCAAGACTAATTGTTAGACCAAAGTCATTATCCACCTCCCCCCCCCCCCGAATGTTTCAAAGCATTTCTTCACTATTGTTATCTTGTTTTGCTCTCGATTCACAAAACCAACGGTCATTCTACGTCATAATAAACCAGCTCGGACCCACCCTTTCAAAAAACGAGAAGAGCGCCGGTTCAGACCACACGTCAAGTAAGGCGGTTCCAATTAAATCTCTTGTGTGTCATAGTGATAATGATTTCTGATAAAAGATAGTTGTACATGGTGGAAACTGATAGAAGCCGAAACTGCAGCAGGCCTGATAGCGAAAACATAACAGTTTTGTGGAGGCCCGCGCACTTGGTGATTGTAGGTCTGTAACCGACGCTCTTTCTCGGTCATTTCGAAAAGGGAGGAGATGTGATTTAGTGCTGGCTTTATTTTGACATCTACACCGCTCTTTTTCCCTTCTTATTGACCTTCATGACCACCATTCTCTTGACTACAGGCGACTGTTCTCTACAAAGTGTCGTCTAAACGCTTAGGTAATTTGAGTATTTGAGTCCAGAGATGGATAAATCATAGTGCAGCGAGATGCAACTGCATCCCCCCCCCCCCAAAGGGGCTAATGTTTCAACCTGTCGACAATGCTTCCAGCAGTTACAGAGGATTGGAATCCTGAGGAAAGTTGCTCATCTTCAATATTTCTCCAATATTTTGCTGGGCCTCTAATAGGAGTCCAGTGTGTAAAAGCAACCCAGATGGCGGCAAGAGGGTATGTAACAGATCGGCTCCTTCTGCCGGGTATAGCGATGAATTCATGGAGATCATTAGAGTGGTTCAACGTATATTCCTTTTAAAGCAACAACCTGAGAGGTCGTTTTGGAAAAACCTATTCTGTGATAAATAGGATATCTCCGCGAGTTTCTACAGTTGTGCCGTAGTCGCGGCTCGAAAGTGCGCGACAATGGTGCTGGAGCCTTGAAAAGTGAGCTAATGACAGCCTATGTGAGCTAATGGACGAGTTGCCTCGCGCACATCCCATGACGCGGAATGGAATTACGTCTTCTTCTTCATCTTCTCACTAGCGCTAGCGGTCCCGCGCAGTCGTAGGGTTCACCGATGTACAGTGTTGTTATTTTCCCAGCAAAAAGAGAGGTACCGACTAACCAGAAGTGCAGGAAGACGCGGAGGCTTGGTTTTCCTGAATGCTTTCCGATCCAGAAGCTTTGTCGCGCTGAATATCGCAGGTGTCACAGGAACATTGCGCATCCGAAACATTATCGCTGCTCTGCAACAAGATTACCAACAGAAATTTCGCTACAAAAAATAGAAGCTTTTTCGAGGACCGGGGTTCTGGATAAATAGAATAGATAATAATAATAAATATAAATAAAAATCAAAAATACACCAAATTAGCCATGCAGATTAGATAATTTAACCTGTGATTTCTCCTTCATTTTTCCTTTTTTTTCCTGTTTTTTTCTACTTTTTGAACTCATTTAGAGTTAAAAGCCCAATGTAAAGGTTTGTATAAGAGTACTGGGTTATGAGCAAACTTTTGCCCCAGACGAGACTCGAACCCCTTGGCGGGCAAGTGCGTTTAAGTTACGCTACCAGTGTACCGCTCTGACCTAACTATTCAAAGAATTTATTATTGACACTTTTATTTACATATTTATTGATATATATTATATAATTTATTGGACCTATCCAAAGTCAAGTTTAGTCGAAAGTCTCGCTCCATTTCGTTGACTGAAATTTTCCCAAAAATGGGTATAACATATATCAATTTCAAGAACGTGGTCTTTGAAATGATTGAACCTTCGGTCTGTGGACGTGAAAAATCAAGATTTGAAGAATGATGTTCATCAATAATTAGCAAATAAACTTCATCGCTATGTATGTCAGTTTTTCCCTGCCATTGGGAATGCCCGGAACTTGTCAGCTCGGTTCACGTGTAGTTCAATTGCCAAGCTTTTAAATATTTCGCCTTGATAATAAATATAGCGCCCCATTGGCTTCTTTTTCGATACCGTCATTTCGTGCTGATGGGCTCAAATAATAGTCTGAACCTTGAATTGGGCTCAAAATTCCTGATCGTTATGCCGGGGCGTGTGTTTCATTTCTTTTCATAATTCCTGTACATAACCAACAAGGGATTCTATGGCTAAT